GATGTTACGAAACAGTGGCTTGTCCTGAAGGGTCGAGCGTTGACAGAGGTACCGAGTCACCGAAGGCCCAACCCCCGGAACCGCCAGAGCCTGATCCGGTGCCATTGGACCAAAGAGCAGTCAGGAAGTAAGTCACAGTCAGGTGGTCACACGGTGATGTCACAGGTCACCGGTCTGAAACCTTCATGTCTCGCCAGGGTCGTTGTGTCCGTCAACGACAAGTGGCACTACTGCCACAACTCAGACGTACTGGTCGGGTCCCGAGCAATGAGAGATCGACACCTGAGGCTGCTGGGATACATCGTCCTCCAGGTGAGAGTGTAAGGCTTCAGAGCAGCGCAACTGTTTGATGCTAGGCTAACAGGCTAATGTGTTGTTTTATATGAAGCTAACACGCTAACCCAGCGGCACCACAGACCTTGACCCTTTAGCCTGGTACCAAATGAGTTAGGGCCTCGTTCCAGCACTGGGGGATCAACCCACGTGTTGAACCACGTCCTGATGCTAAGCCACCAGGTAACAGATGTCTTCTCTTTAGCTTCCATATCAGGACCTGGAGAAACTTAACGGCATCGAGGAAGTCAAGTCCTATCTGCAGGAAAAGCTCATGGAGGTGACCATGCTGCGGTGACACCAGGCGTCCAGCAGGGGGCCAGGTCAAGACTGATGGTTTATTTTGTTTGGTCAGGGTGGGTGTGGGATTACTGTGCATGTGTTGACTGTGGTAGAGGATGCTGGGAAGTGTGATGTTACTCTGGTGATAGTTGCCAAAGGCCAGGGGTCAAAAGTCAAATTATTTATTTGTGTTTGGAAAAAAATCTGTTTATTAAACGAATCTTTAAAAATAGTAAGTGTTAAAAGTATGAAATTAAAGTCAGAACAGACCAAATCAAGTTTGGTGCTTGTTAATAAATATCACTCACCCCCCCCCGTCCCCCCCGTGCCCCTCCCCTCACCACCCACCTCGATCTGGGCTCTGACCCACACTAACACTCAAGTGACATCACTCAGACTCTGCCCGTTCTAGGTGAGAAAAGTGCATTTATTTGTCAATCGTTACTGTGGGGCTGATTGTAGGCGCAATTATGGCTCCACCTACTGTGGTGACTAATGACAATGGCTCCTCCCCCTCTGCCCGCCCACCGATGCCCACAGCCCACCGCTAACCTTCTCATAAAAACACACTCATAAAAAAAGTAACAGATTTCTCCTCTGCCCTGTGACATCACTGCCTCCTCATTGGTTCTGGCTGGTTGATTGAAACACGGAGGCTGAGCCTGCGACGAAGGCAGAGGGGCGGAGCTAGTCGGAGTCGGACTCGCTTGATTCTTCTGATGACGTCTGATCTTCGTCTTCATTCTGCGAAAAAAACAACCAACCCTGATGAGTGGGTGTGGTCGGGGCTGAGATTCATCAAAAACATTTTCTAACAAACCTCGTCGTCTTCGCTGTCGGTAGATGCCGACGTCTCGTCGTCGTCGTCGTCAGAGTTGGACGAGTCGCTCTTTTCGTCTTCGTCTGTGTCCATCATGT